ATTCCTACAATGATGAATATTACCACAAATAAGTTTCACAAATTTATGTCTTTCTCTCTTTTTTCCAGATTCTTTTTGTTACCTTCCATGTAGTGCTACCTTTTTCATCTGTTTTCTTTCTTCGCAGGCTGTCTTCTACTTTAATTGGTAGTAAATGTTGTCATGGTAAGGAGAAAGAGTGTGTTTGGTATATATTCAGGTTTATTGATGAAATTGGTAGATTGGAGAAATTGGAGAGAGATGAAGGAAGGAGAACTGCCCATGATTTTTTGTCTCTCAGTCCTCACAATAAAGGTTGTCTGCTTGCTAACCAAAGACAAACAGTGAGATCATCTTTGTCCTTTCGGACCCTGCATATGACTGGAGTCCTAAAATCCAGGAAATAATCCTCAGCTCCATCAACTGTGGCTGTTTCTTAACTCCAATCCCTATTGACTATGTGACTGAAATATTTGAAGTCAAGCACATGGTTGGTGCTGGCTTGTTCCTATCTTCAACCCTGATCCTCTTAATTCCACTGCCAGCTGAGACTGGAGTGGCCTTGCTCATTGTAATTTGAATTGTCCTAGGTATAGCTCAGGTACCCAAATGTTTCTTGTGTGAATGGAATATAGGTTCCATATTGAACACAGACAATCAAAATTGAAACTTTTTTACTCAGGATATGGCAACAACAGGTCAGTATTCAATTAGGGTCATATGGGCTCCTCCACTGGAAAGGAGTCAGCTCATTGCATTGCTACCTCAGGTGATTGATACCCTAATTCTCACCTTATACTCATTGCCCAAGTGTATTCTTGCAGTGTAGTAAATTATGTAGTGTGACTTTTCCAGCCATCAATCTTTGTAAACTCCTTTGTGGAATTTGCCTTGAGCAACTGAGTAGCACGTGATTGTTAAAATTATCCACCTGGAGTATTTCTGTTGGGAGCAGCACAAAGTAATTTTCTGGGAAGTTTGCTCTCTCTCAGGTGTGTAGAATTCTAATGTTGGGATTGGTTAGTTTGGTCACTCTGCCAGGCTCAAAAGGAGACCTTCTAGAGGCAGAAGGAGTCTCTCACTGCTGTCTGAGAGACATGAGAGATATGTATTGCTGAGAGAAAGATGTGAGAGACAGCCATTGCTGAGAGAGAGACATGAGAGGCATGCATTGCTGAAGGAGACACCAAGAGACATGCACTGCTGGGAGACTGAGAGACTGAGAGACTGTCAGCTGAGAGACGGTGGCCTGAGAGAAACTGAGTGTGTTCCTGAACTTGAATTGTAGCCTGTTGCTTCCCTAATAAACCCCATAATCTGTGACTTCTGCGTGTCCACTGCAGTGGATTATCGAACCCAGCAGAGAGGTGGTGGTGCTGCGGGAGGAAAGGTTGGTGTCAGGGTTGGTGAATGGGCTGGAGGGAGGAAGCATGTCTGGGCTCAGAGGAATAGGCCTTGAGCTACTGATGGTGATTCTGTCTTCCTTTTGTGAGGTTAGAGGAGGTCAGAAGATGTGGCCTCCTTGGCCCTTTGGCAACTCTGCAATGGAATATCAACAGAATTAAGACTTTGAACCCTAACTACTTTGTTTCCATAGGTCTTGCTCTAGACCACTATCATATAATTTCATTCTTGGTCATAACTGAATACTTACTGTGCCAAACCTTTAAGGAACTCTGGTGACGCAATGCCTACGGTATTTGATGGCTAACTAGAAGGTTGGCAGTTTAAACCCACCAGCCACTCTGCAAAAGAAAGGTGAGGCAATCTACTTCTGTAAAGATTTACCACCTAGAAACCCAATGGAGGTCACAGCGAATTGGCATCAACCCGATGGTAGTGAGTTTGTGTGTGTGTGTGTTGGTTGCACATTTTAATCTTAGAATAATCTTATGACTCAGATTATATATATATTCCCATTTCATTCATATAGATTTGAGAAAAAAAATAGATAAATAACTTGACTAAGATAACACAGCTACTGAACACACAGGGTTTGAACTTAGGTAGTCTGGAGTAAAGCCCCTCTCTTTAAGCACTATGTAACTCAGCTTTGTTGAAGGGGTCAAATCAGTAGAAAACAAAGAATTGCAAGCTTTACTCTCTGATCCGGAACATGTTTTCATCTTTTGCTCAGGGACACTGCTGGGGTCCTTCATTGTGTGTGCTGTGGTAGTTTCCTCTGCCAGAGCAAAGGATGAACTTATATCTTATATATCTTTGGTGAGTTGTGCTTTTCAAATTTTAGAGATTTATTTGTTGACAGAGAATGCTGGGCATGATTTTATTTTATTTTATTTTTTAATGAAAGTTGCAACCAGTGCAACACAACCACTGCCTTGGAGTCGGATCCAACACATAGCGACTCCTCCTTGGGTTTCCAAGGCGGTATCACTACAGATGTTTATATATCCCAAGTTGATAATGTTCAAAACTAATTACGTGGTGAGTCTTGCTGCCTTCCAAAATGACACTGAAGATTGAGTAGTCTGAGTGTGAAGCCAGAATAAGCCTTGTGATTTTAAGGGAACAGTAACATTCCTTCCTGTTCTACATTGAAGCTATAAGACTCCGGAGTGATTTATTTTACAACGTGTTGAAAATGTTATCTTAAGGGGATTTTACTTTAAATCACACACTTTCTTTCAAATTGCTCTAAATATAACAATGATTATAAAATTGGGGGCATTTTATTTTATTTGGAGATACAGTCCTGATTTCAGGAGTGTAAAATAATCCAGCAGAGGCTTCAGGGTATAGCAACGCCATATGAAGCTAATCAGTGAACATAATGCTCTGAGAGATACTGCAGAAAGGTACCAAACACACAGGGAGTGTTCCTGAGGCAACATTCTACTACTTCACAATTTTACCTTTATCCCTGGTGGGAATCTGCCCAGCTAATCTCAGCTAATGTTTGTGTTTGTTTGATTTTGAAATACTTTGTTTGAAATCTCATCTGCAAATCACTTAACTCTTCAGAGTAACTCCCACTAATGTTTTCCTTAGAGAATAGTTCTCTTAGATTCAGAGTTTCTGTAACATCAGGCCAATATATTTGCCAGAAAAAAAAAAAATGTGTTAAGATGATTATTTAGTAAATCTATCTTCAACTACTCTGCTGCAGGGCTTTCAAAAGGGCAGCTGAGGTATAACATTCAAGCACTGAGAGAGGCTTACTGTGCTTATGGCTTTGAGAAGCAGTAAGCCACCATATCCATATTAGAAATTCACTAGACATCTGTTGACTGAATATTAAAATCCTCCAAACTCAATGTGTAACACTGATAATTTTTAGATCTACTCCTCCACACTTAATTTTAATTCCTTGATGGAAAAATTTTGTCTTTGTAGCCTTATAATTCTCAAAATCAACAAAATGCCTAGTAGATGGTGCTGTTCGGTGACATTTTTTAATAAATACATGAACATCAAACTAGCAAATGAGACCGAGAGCCCTTAAGGCTTTCTTAAGATCCTGGAAAAGAACTTTTAAGATCTTCCTCCACTCATTCCTGATAATCTTGAATTCCCTAACACTATAATAGCATGTATTGTTGTTGTTGCTGTTGTTATGTGCCATTGAGTAGGACCCAACTCATAGTGACCCCTCCTTGGGTTTCCGAGGCAGTATCACTACGGAAGTACATTGCCCCATCTTCCTTCCGAGGAGTGGCTGATGGGTTTGAACCACCAGCATTCTGGTCAGCAGTCAAGAGCCTTAGGCACTACGCTACCAGAGCTCCCAATAGCATGTATATTAGAGGATATTTCTTTGTTGAGGATTAATTTCAATTCATGTCTAAAGGGTAATCTGTTGCACTAATAATGAGCCATTAACCGATAGGTGCTTTCAGAAAGGTATAAGATAGATAGGGGAAGATTTAATGATGAAAGAAATTTTGGGGAAGCAAAACTAGAAGAAGGGATGATGATCGGTCCTTGAAGAGTGAGGACATTTTTAAGCACATAAGACAAACACACTAAGAACTTTTAATTATGACCTATAGCCTCAAATAATGTTATATTTCAAAATTTCCCAATATTCAGTGGTTTAAAACAGCAATCATTTATTCTCATTATTCTATGGGATGACTAGGCTTCTGTGCTCCCTATGTCACTCATTTGTCTTGAACCATAGGCCTAACTGGAGCACATTCTGCTCAAAACAATGGCTAAATGCAAGAGGATGCACAAAACATATACTACTTCCTAAGGCCTAGGCTTAAAACTACCCCACAACACTGGCAAAAGCAAGGTGGGTAATTATTGCCAAAGTCAAGATGGGAAAAGTACCCTCCATCTCTGATAGAGCTATCCAGTGTGGAGATGCAGGACTGGGGAAACCATTTTGTCAATCACATGAGTCATCTCGGAGTCAAAATGAAGGAACTCCAAAGCAGTGCCCACTGGATGTTTTCTTATGTGGAATTGGCTATGCCTTTGTTTTCTCTGGTTCCCTCTCATTTATGGTGATCCCATCCATTATCCCTATATCAGCACTGGCGAGATACATACATCATGTGTGCACTGGCCCAACTGGTGCATCTACCTTCAAGGCTGTGCCACAGAAACTTCAAAATGGCAGGTGAGAAGTAATATCCAAGCACTGAGAGAGGATTACTGTGCTTATAGTTCTGAGAAACAGTTAACATCCCATACATACCAGGAATTCACTAGATATTGTTGACAATATTAAAATCCTCCAAACTCTGTGCTTAACATTGCTAATTTTCATATCCATTCCTCCACACTTGATTTTAAATTCTGTAACAGCAAAGTTGTGTCTTTATAGTCATATATTTGAAAATTACTAAAATATCTGGGTGTGGTGGCTATTCAGTGATGTTTGCGAATGACTGTGTGAACAACAACAGCAAATCAAACTGAGAATACTTAAGGCTTTTGTTTTTAAATTGTGATTTGAGTGAAAGTTTACAGAGCAAATTGATTTTCCATTCAACAATCCATGCACATTCTGTTTTGTGACACTGCATTCCCCAAGGAGCTCTGGTGGCATAGTTCCTAAGGCATTTGACTGCTAACCAAAAGGTTGGCAGTTCAAACCCACCAGCCATTCCTGGGAAGGAAGACTGGGCGATCTACTTCCATAAAGATTTGCCACCTTGGAACCCAAAGGAGGTTGCCATGAGTTGGAATTGACTCGCTGGCAATTCCATCAACAACATTCTTCCCACTTCCTCCCCGTGCCAGTTCCTTCCCTTCATTCTTCCTTTCCATCCCTTCCCTACTTCCTAGCTCTTGTTGCTAAGGGCTGTCGCATGATCTCCAACTCATAGTGACCTCATGTACAGCAGAACAAAACACTGCCCAGTCCTGTGCCAACCCCAAGATCTCTGCTATTCCTGAGTTCATCGTTGCAGCCACTGTGTCAATCCATCTTGTTGAGGGCCTTCCCCTTTTTCATTGTCCCTCCACTTTACCAAGCATGATATCCTTCTCCAGGGAATGGTCCCTTCTTACAACATGACCAAAGTAGGTCAGACAAAGTCTGGGCATTCTCACTTCCAAGGAGCATTCTGGCTGCACCTCTTCCATGATAGATTCATTAGTTCTTTTAGCAGTCCATGGTACTTTCAGCATTCTTTGCCAACACCACAACTCAAAAGCACCAACTTTTCTTCAGTCTTCCTTTTTCATTGTCCAGCTCTCACATGTATATGAAGTGATTGAAAATACCATGGCCTGTGTCAAGCACACTTTAGTCTTCAAGGAAATATCTTTGCTCTTCAGAACTTGAAAGAGGTCCTTCCCAGCAGATTTGCCCAATGCTATATGACATTTGATATCTTGACTGCTGCTTCCATTGATGTTGATTGTAGAACCAAATAACATGAAGTCTTTGACAACTTCAATCTTTTCTCCATTTGTTGTGATGCTGCTTACTGGTCTTGTGAGGATTTTTGTTTTCTTTATATTGAGGTGTAATCCATACTGCAGACTGTAGTCTTCAATCTTCATCAGTAAGTGTTTCAAGTCATCTTCACTTTCAGTGAGCAAAGATGTATCATCTGCATGATGGAGGTTGCTAATCAGTCTTCTTCCAATCCTGATGTCATGTTTTTCTTCATATAGTCCAGCCTCTCTGATTATTTCCTCAGTATACAGATTGAATAAGTATGGTGAAAGGATACAACCCTGACACACTCCCTCTTGATTTTAAACCATGCAGTGTCCCCTTGTTCTGTTCGAACTACAGCCTCCTGGTCTATGTACAAGTTTCTCATAAACACAATTAAGTGTTCTGCAATTCCCATTCCTCTCAATGTTATCCACAATTTGTTATGATCTACACAATTGAATGCTTTTTCACAGTCAATAAAACACAAGTAAACATCTTTCTGGTATTCTTTGCTTTGAGCCAAGATTCATCTGACATCAGCAATGATACTCCTTATTCCACATTCTCTTCTGAATCCAGCCTGCATTTCTGGAAGTTCTTTGTCAATATATTGCTACAACCGTTTTTGAATTATCTTCAGTAAGATTTTACTTGTGTGTGATATTAATGATACTGTTTGATAATTTCCACATTCTGGGGGATTGCTTTTCTCTGGAGTTTGTACAAATATGGATCCATTCCAGTCAGTTGGCCAGATTGTTGTCTTCCAAATCTCTTGGCATAGCTAAGTGAGTGCCTCTAGCGCGGCATCCATTTGTTAAGACATCTCAGTGGGTATCCCGTCAATTCCTGGAGACTTGTTTTTCACCACTTCCTTCAGTGCAACTTTGACTTCTTCCCTCAGTACCATTGATTATTGATCATATATGCCACCTCCTGAAATGGATGAACATTGACCAATTCTTTTCGGTACAGTGACTGTGAATTCCTTCCAACTTCTTTTTAATGTTTCCTGCATCATTCAATACATTGCCCATAGAATCTTTCAATATTGCAATTCAAGGCTTAAATTTTTTCCTCAGTTTTTTCTGCTTGAGAAATGCTGAGTGTGTTCTTCCCTTTTGGTTTTCCAACTCCTTGTCTTTGCACATTTCATTATAATAATTAACTTTGTCTTCTAGAGCTGCTCCTTGAAATCTCCTGTTTAGCTCTTTTATCTTGTCATTTCTCCCATTTGCTTAATCTACTCTCCATTCAAGGGCAAGTTTCAGAGCCTCTTCTGACATCACTTTGGTGTTTTCTTCCTTTGCTGTCTTTTTAATGACCTCTTGCTTTCTTCATAGATGATGTTCTTGATGTAATCCCACAGTTCCTCTGGTTTTCAGTCATTGTTTTTCAATACATCAAATCTATTCTTTAAATTGTCTCTAAATTCAGGAGGGATATTATCAAAGTCATATTTTGGCTCCTGTGGACTTGTCTTAATTGTCTTCAACTTCAACTTGAACTTGCATATGAGCAGTTGATGGTCTGTTCCACAATCAGCTCCTGGCCTTACTTTGGCTGAAAATATTGAGCTTCTCCATCGCCACTTGCCATAAATGTAGTCAATCTACGACAAGCAGCTGAGTAGCTGCTTTGGGTATGTGGTTTGCTTCTCATATATAAGAAACAACTTTGGGAATGGTCTCTAACTTATGGCATGCTTGAACTCTGCATGTAGCTGTGTCATTGTTCAGCAGCCTATCATGCTCTGCTCACCTGGGAACTTTCAATGGACTTAAATTAATGCCCTGCAGTGTGATGTGGTGACATCGAGACTGTGCCATTTTATTTGTTGACCTTGGGCTTGTCAGCCTCAGCAGCCAGTAGCTGCCTGAGTGAAGAGATGCCTCTAGCTTCAGTGGGCTGGGAGCAAGAGGCAGAGCTGAAGCCCAAGGTCGAGGGGCTTTCACACAGCCCCTAGAGCCTGACACTTTGAACTTAGACTTAAAGCCTCCAAACTGTAAGAATAAACTCCCGTTTGTTCAAGCCATCCCATTAGTGGTATATTCTTGTTAGAGCAGTACTAGGTAACCAGGACATGTACTATGTTGTGCCAATTGAGCTTGATATGCCCTGAGACAATGGTCCCAAGCCTGTAGGCCTGGTGATTCTCTCCCTCAAGGTGTTTGGTTATCACTGAGACGTGACTCCCACCTTGTCCTCTGTTACTTCTGTAATGTGTGTGGATATTTTTATAGCACAAATACATATGTAAGAACATCTTCAACCAAATCTATCCTTGGTTGTGGGTACATTCCTGTTGGCCTACCCACACCTGATCTTCTCACCTGTCTATGCATTTACCCATAGACTAGTGTCTACTGCCATGGTAATGCAGTATTCTGCATGTAATGGTATTTGCCTTGTTATCTACTTCTTTTGTGCATGTTTCTGTGTCCTCTTTTTCCCTGTTATCATTGTACTGATCGCATACTTTCGTTGTGTGGCCTTTCCCTTCATCCAAATCAACATATGATTCTTAACTCACCAGAAATTTTCCCTCCCTGTCCCTCCTACCCCAACAAAGTAAATTTCCTTCCTTACATAAACCTTTCCTTGACATTTTATAATAAGGAATTTTTAAGTTAAGCCATATGTCCACTTAATCCTGATAATGCAGAGTTTTCCAATACTATAATAATGTGTATATTAGAGGAAACTTCTGGTTGAGGATTAATTTCAGTTCATATCTATAAAATGTCTGGGTAATCAGTTGCACATAATTATATGGTGCTAACTATGAGGTATGGAAGCAAGACAGGGCAATCTACTTCCATAAAGATTTACTGCCTCAGAAACCCAGTGGGGGTCACTATGAGTGGGAATTGACCTGATGGCAGTGGGTTTTTCAAACTATGAGGTGCTCTGGTAGCATAGTGCCTAAGACACTTGACTGCTAACCAGAAGGCTGGCAGTTCAAACCCACCAGCCATTCCTCAGAAGGAAGATGGGGCAATCTATTTCCGTAGTGATACTGCCTCAGAAACCCAAGGAGGAGTCACTATGAGTCAGGTCCGACACAACGGCACATAACAACAACAACAAAAACAACATGAGGTGCTCTGAGGGTAATAAAAGATAGATAATGGAACAATTTAATGACAAGAGAAAATTTGAAGTAGTATAAGTAAAAGGAAGGCTGCTGACTGGTCCTTGAACAAAAGGGCATTTTCAAGCATGTGAGGAAAACAACTCTAAGAATTTGTAATAATTAACTGTAGTGTCAATAATGGTACATTTAAAATTTTCCTAATGTGTAGTGATTTAAAACAACAATCCTTTATTCTCATAGTTCTATGGGATGTCTGGAGGTCTCTGCTCCTGCTGTCTCTCATTTGCCTTGGTTAATAGTTTAACTGGGGCACTGTATGTCCATGACAATGGCTAAGATCCAAGAATATGCACAAAACATGCATTGTTTCTTAAGGGCTAGGTTTGCAGCTGCCCATGCCATTGGCAAAAGCAAGTTACATGGTCAAGGTCACATTCAAAAGGTGGGGAAATACTCTACCTCTGATAAGGCCATGCAAAGGTGTTGCAGGGAGGGTTAGAGAATTATGGCCAGTCAAGCACAGGAAGCAGCCTGAAGAAACATAAAAATGAAAGAAGGACACCAGTGTGGTGCTCACTGGATCCTCTTTTCCAGGTGGAATTGGTTGTACGTGTTGTCTTCTCTGGTTTTCTCTTGTTTATGATGACCCTACGGATCATCCCTTTATCGGCACTGGTGAGAAGACATACACTGTATGTGCACTGGCCATACAGGTTCATTGAGGGACTTTCCTGCTATTTCCCATGCTGTGTCTGCCTGGGTGTGATCATCACTCTTTGATGTGAAGAGTGCAGTGGAGAGAATTCCTGTTTCTGAAGGAGTGGATATTGATATGTGCTTTCTTCCAGGATTGCTCTTACTGGGTCTCTTCCCATCAAGGCTATGATCAAATCCCTATCACTTTGGGCCATTTTAGTCTCTTGTTTCTGTGAATTCTGGCTTTCTGATACATTGATGATGTATACACCAGCATTCAACTGCTCTGTACTTCAAGTTAACCTCAGGGATGAAAGTATAGAGAAAGCTTGTTCAGTTATTTTCTTGAATGTTTTAATATCTAATCTCCTGTCTCCCATAATCGTAGAGTCAGGGGTTTGAGCCCAAGAACCCTAATGTACATAATGAAACTGGGTTAACTTGAATTCTGATTGAGCTCATGGTGAATTACTGCTTATTGAAGCAAAGTGGTGTGTTTGTAGGTCAGCTTGGTAGTAACAGAATATAAACTTTTAAGGGATAGATACAAAATGTTATATCCATCTGTCTTAGGCTGGATGCTTTAGAGAAGCAAAACTAATGAAGCTTATATATTTATACATACATACATATATATATATGTATGAATGTATGTATAGGAGCTCTGGTAGCATACTGGCTAAGGCACTTGACTGCTAACCAGAAGGCTAGTGGTTCAAACCCACCAGTCACTTCTCTGAATAATAGTTATCTGTGAACTAAATACAAATATAAGGGCAGATTAGGAACAAGGGTAGGAGTAAGGATTTTTATGCCATTTTCTTTACATAGTTTTTAAAATATTGACCCTTGTTAATACATTAGTAATTCAAGTTCTAAATGAAAATTCTCTTAAAGAAAATGCAAATCAAATTTTACTCTCAGTTAAATGGGGGCTATCTATTCATGTGTAAAACCCAAACAATGAAAACAACTTAGCTATCCCCTGGTCCGAGATGTTCACTGTACAGCAGAGAAAACCAAGGCCTCAGCTTCGTGTGAATTAATGCAGACCCAAGGAGGGGTCTCTATGAGTTGGAGCTGACTCGATGGCACATAACAACAACAACAACAACCATATGTATGTATGTATGTATGTATATAAAGAGAGAGAGATTTAGCTCAACAAAATGGCTCATGTGTTTGTAGAGGTTGGCAAGTCCCAAGTCTATGGGTCAGATGCTAAGCTGGAGGCTTCTCCTGACTCACGTACCTGCAGGGGCTGGCAAATCCAAGATCAGCAGGTCAAACGGCAAATGCTTGCTCATGGGCTGTGGAAGCTGACAATTCCAAGATCAGCAGTTAAGATGGCAAGTTGCTGGCTGTAGAGGCTAATGAATCCCAAGATTGGCAGGCAATATGGCAGGCCACTGGCTCAAGTCCGAAGAAGTGGAGGGCATAGGATGATGAGCCAGATGCAGGATCCAGATTGAGAAAAAGTAGAGAGCTTTGCCAGAGCATCCATATATATTGGATGCTGGCCCCACCCCTGAGGAAACTCCATTTCAACTGAATGACTGCTCATAACAGATCTCATCACGGAGGTGATTGCATTTAATCAGATTTCATCATGGGGGATTACTACATCATAACCGCCAAACCATTGTCAACAGCCCAGCCAAGTTGACACACAGTCTTCACCATCACACCATCCAATGAATATCTGCCAAACAAGCCACTCTCCTGGCAACATAAGCAATCAAGGGTTAACAAAACAAAGTCTGTCTTTGAGTTGCCTATAACAGAGAAACATAAACAAGATATACTGAAAGTAAGCATATTTTATAAATAGACCATAATGTACCAAATAGGAAGCATACATAAATTGATAGATACATTTTTAACATTGTATTCAAATATTATATATATAAAGATATAAGTATAGGTGTGTTTACAGTTCTCTGAATTTTCACAAAATGAATGAATGTCCTTGTTGGTTTGGAAGAAGGTTTCAATTCTTGCTAGGTTCATGCCACAGAAGTGGCAAAGAGTGCATTAGAATACTGTAGCCAGTTAGTAACAATTCACTCTTACCCTTTGCACTCAAAAAGTAGCTTTCTCATATTAATTTGACTGCTTTAGAGAAAAGGTGCTAATTGACCAGCTGAGAGCTGGCCTCCTAGTGGTCAGAGTCTGAGGAGTAAGCAGGGTCAGGATGCAAGCAGGCTAGAAGCAGTGAGGTCAGAAAGCCCAAGGAAGGAGTGGCTATGGTTTTTCTCAAAGGAGAAAAAGGGCCTGAAACAGGAAATGAAATAAGAATCCCAAGCCAGAGAATGAGGGGACAGGAAGCCCAGAAAAGGAGGAAGTCAGGGTTGAGAGATAGACATCCAGAGGCTGGCTATCGGAGTGACTTGTCTCTGACTTGAGGCTGATTGTATTCCCCACCTTTGGAGGCCAAGACTGAGAAGAGGAGGCTTTAGTATGAATGAAAGACAAGGTGGAACCAGATGGCAGAGTGTCCCTTGCTGAGAAGACAAAAAACATGGACTCCTATTGCTCTCTGGGTGTTTCTGCATTAATTCACACGAAGTTGAGGCCTTGGTTTTCTCTGCTGTACAATGAACATCTCAGACCAGGGGATAGCTAAGTTGTTTTCATTGTTTGGGTTTTACACGTGAATAGACAGCCCCCATTTAACTGAGACTAAAATTTGATTTGCATTTTCTTTAAGAGAATTTTCATTTAGAACTTGAATTACTAATGTATTAACAAGGGTCAATATTTTAAAAACTATGTAAAGAAAATGGCATAAAAATCCTTACTCCTACCCTTGTTCCTAATCTGCCCTTATATTTGTATTTAGTTCACAGATAACTATTATTTATTATTATATGTCCTTCCATTGTTTCTTTATGAAAATGCTGCATACCTGAAATGGCATACTTATGTCTCATCTTTTCTATGCTGTATATGCTATTATGCTTTATATACCAATTTTTCACCACTTAAAATATTTTGGATATCATTTCATGAGAACTCCCTTACAGAGCAATATTTTAGTTGTTTCCAATATTCTGAAAAAAGTTTCAATGCAAATGCCATTCATTTCACATTCGTGAAAATATTTCTGGAGAGAAAATTTCTGCACATCAGATTGGGGATTCAAGAGATATCTACAGTAATAACTTACACACACACATACATCAATTGCCTTCCACAGCACAATAATAATATTTAAAAGGGGTGTTTCCCCATGACTCAGCACTGAACATGTCAAAAAACTTTTCAATTTTTACCAATTTGATCCATGAAAAGTGATATCTCATTGTAGTTTTATTTTGCATTTATCTTTCTGAGTAAGGTTAAGTACCTTTTATTATGTTTGTCATTGTTAACATAACTCATCAAGTCTATTTCAACTCATAGTGACCCCATATGACAGAGTAGAACTGTCCCATATGGTTTTCTAGACTGTAATCTTCATGGGAGCAGGCCTTTCTCCCATGGAGCCACTGGGTGAATTTGAATCGCCAACCTTTTTGATAGTAGCCAGGTGCTTAAAAATTCACATATTTTTCTGTAAATTGTCTTCTCATATCCTCTGCCTATTTTTCTACTTGTTTGGGTCTTTTTAATATCTATTTCCAGATGATTATTCCATATCATTGTTGTTGTTGTTGTTATGTGCGGTCCAGTCAGCCCTGACTTATAGCAACCCCTCCTTGAGTTGCCAAGGCAGTATTACTATGGAAGTAGATTGCCCCATCCTCCTTCCGAGGAGTGGCTGGTAGGTTTGAACCGCCAGGCTTCTGGTTAGCAGTCAGGTGCCTTAGGCACTATGCTACCAGAGCTCCCAGAGAGAGACAGCCTGGCTCTCTGGCAGGCTCAAACCCACAGCATTGTATGTGGCAGGCCTTAGGCCTGAGACCACTCTCTATGGTCTTCCATATCATAGTACATTTTATTTTTTAAAATTTTTTGGCAAATTGGGCCATATGCATATTTTCCCTTAAAAAAACAAACAAACAAAAAAAAAACTCACTCCCATCAAGTCAATTCTAACTGATAACTAAAATGATATTGACTTAACCCAGTAAAAATGAACTTGTATGAATAATGATGAGTATATAGAGAAAAGTCATAGATGTGGACAATTGGTATAGGCATCAGTCTGGGTGATGCTGAGGTGATGGGGGAGAGCTGATACCTCACCTCATCTCTGATCCTCACAGTGCCATCTTGTTTGCACTGCTGTTTGTATCTGGCCTGATTTACATTATCCTCAGGGGTCTTTGACAAGTTTTCTCCTTTCTAGAAAAATTCTCAGATTTATAACTGTAAGGAAACTCTTCACTGGCATAGGTAAAGGGCAAGACAGTTACATGGGTGGGTGTGGAACACTCAGAGAAGCCTCCTATTTACACTGTGTCTATCCTCCCCACCTCGGAAGGAAGATTGGGCACTCTACTTCCGTAGTAATACTGCCTCGGAAACCCAAGGAGGGGTCGCTATGAGTCGGGTCCGACTTGTCAGCACATAACAACAACAACATCCTTCCCACAAGGTTCTTATCCCAGCCATGCTCATTGTCCCTGGACTGGATCAGTTTCAGCATCAGCACCTCCATGGTCTTCTAAGTGCTATCTTTTGGTATCATCACCTTCTGTAATATAGACACCTTTGTTAACATTTTGAATATTGCTCCTTGGTAGGGACACCTTTGTCTCATCCTCACAGAAATTAAGCTCAACTCAGGTAGCACTAAGCATGCACTGACACACAGCTAACAAACTTATTTGTTACATGACAAACAAGTCACAGAAGTGTTAGCACCAGCCTGCCTTATATCTAAATGTTGTTGTTGTTGTTATGTACCGTCGAGTCGGACCCGACTCCTAGTGACCCCTCCTTGGGTTTCCGAGGCAGTATCACTACGGAAATAGATTGCCCCATCTTCCTTCCGAGGAGTGGTTGGTGGGTTTGAACCACCAGCCTTATATATATATATAAATAATTCTTGTAAAAGACCTAAATCTGGTGAACCATTGCAAAAACAAGAGTCAATGGCTTTTAATATCACAGTGCCTCTGGTCCTCACTGTAAAAATTCTTAAGTAACCACAATTTTAAGTTACAGTATAACTGATGATAATCATGAAATATGCATTATGAATTTTGTCCTGTGATTTAGCTCTATCAGAGCTGTAGCAAATGTACTTCAAGTGGTTTTGCTAATTTAAGAAGGTAAAGAATCAAGAATAAATAGATGAAGATCAGAAATGACAGATTCTTCCCAGAACATAACTCCCAGGATCCTTTCCCAGGACCCTTTCCCAAGATAGCTCAGAGATACCTTGGTCTCATGGGAACCATCGTCTCATCCCATCCAATTGAGGGTCTTGTGTGCCCAAAACAAGGCTACATGGTCAATTCAATAGAAAAGAGCAAGAGACTATATCAACCAGGTCCAAGCCATCAATATGTACATTTTCTATAAACAATGCTGACAAGTTAGTAAAAGTCTCAGACTCCAGCCCAGGATTATATTAATCATTACTCCATTTCACTCACATTTGATCAAGGGTCAACACAATTTCAGGCATCCCCAGAGATAAGCACAGAGTTGCAACAGACCAGCTGACACAAAGCTTTTGTTTATAAGATAATATTTCTCTCTTTATCTTTCTCACAGATACACAGGCTTTCCCAAAGGACTAACACAGATCTTTGTGCACATAGCTGGAGCTGTCTCTCCCACTGCTGCCAAATTTTTCATCAGTCAGGTGAGGTGATATGTTCTCATGATAATATTAACAAAAGAAATTTCAAAGCATACGTGTGGGATCTGTAAAGATCACTCAGGAGAAGTCAGACTATGGGTATTTTATTTTATTTTTCTCATTCTTCACTCAGCATGGTTCATCTTGAAGCTGAAGAATCCCAAATACTCTAATTCCTCTCATTCCTACCCTAGGCTCTTATCATATAGGGAAATTTCCACATGCTCAGGGTGTGGAGTGAGGAAAAATGCTCAATTTTATGTGTTTATCTTTTGTGAGTTTTTATGAGATGAGCATCTCATGGTAAGCGTCTCATTTTCCAGCAGTAATATTGGCATTTCCTTTAAAATATAGGGTAACTGCAGTAGTTAGGGCTGTGTGTCAAATTGGCTGGGTCATTTTTTTTTTTTTTTTT